AAAAAAAAATAATCATTGTCGATGATTGAAAAAAACCTATCATATCCACATCTGTTCACTCAGCATCTCTTGAGATAGTAATAAGAATACAAAATTATTTTTTATTAATTTTTTTAACGATAAGCAAGTGCCAATTGTAAAATGACACTATCAGTTGTTTTCCTTGCCATTTTTTTTTTTTTTTTAGAATTATGTATTCAGATTTCATATTGACAAAAAAATTTTCGATAAATTTTTTTTTATTCAATCGCAAGAAACTGTTTACGAGATTGTCCACAGTCACATTCCCACGATCATTTTTCCCGTTTCAGCAAAATTTTCTGATCAATTAGACAATTTCTACGGCTTCTTCATCCGAAGATGATCCACCCGTCGAACACATGTTACATATGAATGCTCGACTGTCCAACCATTCGTCCAGTCGTCCGTTACTCTCTTAGAAGTTCTCCATTTGCTTCCATCCACATCTTTTTCAGCTCCCCTTTTCTTCTTCTTCTCGTTCATTTACATGTCACAGCCATACTTCCGTACGTGTAGCCCAGACTATACGTACAGTCCCTGCTATAGTGTTTTAACCCTACGAGGGAGTTCTCCGCGTGTTTATTTTCAAGCGTCGGCCTCCGTCCTCGCCGTGCTCGAATCTAGACCGCCTTAAAGAAATATACAACCATTCCGACCCGTGGTCTTTACTTCGTACAGGCCCTTTTATTTTCGGCACGATTGCCCGGGACTATAGGTCCTTTCACAAAGAAATCTCGAGCTCTTGTGAATTTTTTAAAATATGCTTGAGAAATCAGGCTACGCACCCAGCACCACAGGTGTACATGCAATTCACGTGTATTATTCGGCTGGAAGGAGAGGATCGAACTCTTTCGATGAATCGTGACTTTTCTATGAAATTTATCGATCCTTTCAGATATCCAGAGAAACCACGTGGTGGTCAACGCCCACGAGAGCCGTGCGTGACATGATTAAACGTGACCCATTAATCTCTATCGTGGAATCCGACTTAATATTTTTAATTGAGCGTCGATGATCGATTGAAAAAAAACAACAATTATTTTATAATAAAGTATCTCGCACGATTGCCACTAAAAGTCATCAGTTTGTTTTAACGTTGCGAAGATAGCTTTTTTCTCAATTTTCTTGACTCATACATAGTAATGCTGCGTGTGATCTTCGTATAGCCGCATCGTATGTCGATGCGCTCGCATTTGCGATACTATGCGCGCATTTTCCCGCGAAATTCAAATTCGCTGGACGTCGCTCGAGAACCGTGGAGGTTAAAAATAAAAAATTCCATAATGCTTTTTCCAGCGAAGCCTCACGGTATCCCACCAAAGCAAGATGCTCCCCGTACGTGTGACGTCACAGTCGAGCTAACGTATGTGCACGAGCGTAAGGATTAGTATCGTCAGGACGCAGCATACGAAAAACACAATAGCGAGCAGCCCAAAGTGTCCGTAAAATAAATGACTCGTGTCTCGTTCGTGTATTCGAGCCGCACTGAGAGATAAATGAGGGAGGGAAATCAAAGAAAGGGTTGCGCGTCATGGGATTGACTACTAGACCCGTAACAATTTTTTATATTCGCAACCCCTCGCGCGCCGCGTCCGCCAACTATACAATTCCCGAGTGCGTACGAGTTTCTACGAACCGGCAAGAAGCAAATGGCCTTTGTAGACCGACAGACTTCGCGCACTTCGTTAAAAGGAAGTCGATATATTTCCAGACGATTGATTTCCTTCGGAAAGAAAGAGAGCAAAAAAGAAGGCAACCCTCAAAAATATCCCTTGAGAGTTTCCCCACCTTTTGTCATCCCTTATTTCACTCCGTCTCTCTTTCTCTCTGCATAAACGCATCCCTTTCCCGTACGTGTACCATTATTGCCCTCGACTCGTGTGTACGCACCCTTACTACCTTTTATCTCGACATAACCAAAAGTCTTCACGATGCCTTTTGTACCCGAGAAAATACGAAGCTTCTCTACAGCCATTGTTGATTCTCGTTTGGTCGATTAGTCGACGATAATGGCGTACGAGCGGTAACACGTCGCGTTGTTGGTCACAGGCAAAAAATTCTTTAAGGTCATAGGTCGCCTCCGATACCTACGTGCTCACAGCAATACAGCCCGAAAAAAGTTTTCACTATCTTACACAATTTAGGAGTCACGAAGGTCAACCGGGTGACCTGTACATGTGTAACGAGGAAATAACGGTGGATACACAAATATTTCGTATTTTCATTATTTACCCCATTGCGTATACCTATACGTGTCAACGTATAGGTCCTACGCGATAGCTGCATGAAAATATAATATTTCTGGGATAGTAGAACATACATACGCGTGTTAACGGTAATATACGCTATGCCGATCGGGTATGGTCACGTGTCCCATATTAAGTTCTCTTTTTCATGATGCTGTACGATGGGTGTCCTGATTAACTCGTAGGGTCAGTCACGCTTCGATTTAACGGCTTACGAATAGCAAGGAGCCCCGACGTCGTGTAAAAAAGTTAACATCCGACACCTGATAACGGGGCACCATAATTATTTAGTATCGTGCGTACTGGGAAGCCTTTCCGAGACGGTAACCTGGCGTCTCGTAAACGTTATGTGCTCGGAACCGAGAAGTTACGGTAACGATGTCGTTTTTGCTGTGGTTTTAATACGGGTTTGCCTAACGAATCCAATCCCTCTGCTTCCACTTCCGCTTCTCTCCGTGCCACAGTCAGGGCCTTTTCCTATGTGTCTCTTTCCGGTTTTACGAACGGGCTAATACACACTGCCGCCTTGACGCACCATCGTCTGTCTGTTTGTATGTTCTTCGACTTTCACGGGCTGATATTGCATTTCAGTAAGTGTGTGTGGTCAGCACTTCCGGAAGGAAGTCGTCAGGAGATATTGATTTATTAGATAGATATAGATATAGATAGACATAGATATTGATTCGTCCTTTTTCTTGGTCGTTTTCGTTAAATTCTCCTGGCGCAACCGCAGTCGCAACGAACGTCGACCACAGTTCGTTCCGGGTGAATGGAAAATTATTGTATGTCTCCAGTATGGAAATAAACGTTGTATGTACGGTGATATGACGTTGCGGTATTTTGGGGCAAATTAAGGAAAGTGCATTCGGATGCGTCGCGCGCATCAAGTGTGAGCTCGAGATGGGGTTGTTTAATATATGGTATTTTTTTTACATTCTCTTTTTTTTTCACTTTCAGTATCGAGCTTTGTTTTACATTTTGTTTTATTCTCTTGAAAACTCCAGTCGTCCAAGTTTTCCATCTATAGGGTGACCGGGGTGGAATGCATCCTCGAAAATAGAAGCTCGCCTTAAACGTCGCGACATCGCTGTCACTACGAAAATAGATTAGCCTCATTTTTTTTTCATGTAATTATACTCGCGTACTTTACAACGACTGAAAATACGTTCCCTCTTAAATTCCATTACGGTGGCTCATATATATCCTGTGAATATATCATTGGGGGGTGTCTAATTGGCCAACCCGCTGCTGAGACTGCCAAATTGCACGAGACTGCCTATTGCACGATACGGAAATAATAGGTAAGGCACTGTCCGGAAAATTGGGGTCATCCTTGACACTCGGTTCGAGGGAGTGGTCCCGATACTCGTGAATAAATAATTCATGGTCGGTAAAAAAAAGGATGAAAACGACCCTACCGACGAGGGTCCTGTTTGGTTGGGATAAGCCTGTTATAAGGACTGAGGGAACGCAGGAGAGCATGAACGAAGGACGTGAAAAATGGCTGATTATCAATAAGGATTTTTCGAGGCAAAGGAAAAGGTCTTTGAAAAAAAAAAAGAGAGAATAACAAAAAGTATAAATAAAGATCTCTACACTCAGCACCGATGAAAAAAAATATATATATGCCGATCCTTTATCCTGTTGGTGCACATTAAGGATATACATGACTTTAAAACTTCACAGTACAATGGCAGAGTGGATGGTCCGGATTTTGAAATTTGATTATCCAGGGAGAATTATCGTGCGAATAAAATGTCCTGGGATCCTTCTAAAATATACCAGACACCGTCCACTTCGGCACGTAGATCCTTTCAAGGTAAAAGGATCCTTGAAGTGTCTTCCTGAGATAATGTGTCCCGTGAGATAATAGAGCACGGATATTGGGTATGTGCCGGGTGTTCGAAAAATCGTGGAACGGTTTATCGTCTCTTGAAAAAGTTTATGAAAATTTGTTCAGCAACTGTTGCGTCATTGGGACGTAATTTGTCCGAATATTACAGCGTTTGAAAAACAAGAAAAAGGTGATCGTGCGTTGCGTGCTCGAAGTTTTCTTTACACTTGAAAACCGGCCACCCGTTATAATCACACAAACCTTATCTCCAGGATCTGAGGAAGCAAACGGTTTCCTGAGTGAAACGAGCAACTGCTGTCTCGTGTGGGCCAGCCACAAGGGACAGAGATAAAGCACAGTGAAACGCTACGGTTAGGCACCCC